GTGACTAATTCTTTTTTTATTAATTAATTAATTTTTATTTTTCAACAATCACTTCCATAAGCTTTTGAGTTTTAAGTTTTCTCACCCTTCCTCCCTTTCTCTCTCCCCACGACAACGTGCAATCTGATATAGGCTCTATATATAGATTCCTATTAAACATATTTTCACATTAGTCACGTTGTAAGGAAGAATTAGAACCCATAGGAGGAACTACTAGAAAGAAGAAACAAAACAAAACAGAAGAAAAAAAAGAGCAAATAGTATGCTTCTATCTGCATTCAAACTCCATAGTTCTTTCTTTGGATGTGGATAGCATTTTCCATCATGAGATTTTTGTAGATGTCTTAGATCCTTGCATTGCTGAGAACGGCTAAGTCTGTCAATGATAGTCATCGCACAATGTGGCTGTTACTGTGTACAATTTTCTCCTGGCTCTGTTCAGTTCACTCAGCATCAGTCCACATAAGTCTTTGCAGGTTTTTCTGAAGTCTGCCTGCTCATCATTTCTTATAGCACAGTTGTATTCCATTACATTCATATACCACAACTTGTTCAGTCATTCCCCAATTGATGGGCACTCCTTCAATTTCCAATTCTTTGCCACCACAGAAAGAGCTGCTATAAATATTTTTGTATATACGGGTCGAAGATGACTAATTTGTAAAAAAAAAAAATAATCAAATTCTATATACATATACAAGCTTGTTTTGCAAAACAGCAGCACTGTTATTGTTAATAAATTTGATATGGTTGAACATTATATAGATTTGTATACATATGCTTATATTTATTATCACAGTAGTTTAGCAGGATTATACAACATATAAAATTATGATTTACAAATTAAAGTCAGCATCTTTTAAAAGTGAAGAAAACATGCTAAGTTTTAAAAATGAGATAGTCAAGGGGCAGAGGCAAGATGGCGGAGTTAAAGCACTGATGTGCTTGAGCTCTCCCCCAAACCCCTCCAAATACCTATAAAAATGACTCTAAACAAATTCTAAAGCAGCAGAACCCACAAAAAGACAGAGTGAAACAAATTTCCAGCCCAAGACAAAGTGGATGGTTGATCAGAAAGGTATATCGCACCGGGCTGGGAGAGAAGCACAGTTCCTCATGGGCATGCAGGCCACAGCAAACCTGGAGCAGGCCTCAGAGGACTGAATCACAGGCAGCTATGGCGGTTTCCAGACTTCTCGACCCATGAACACCAAAGACAACTTAGAAGGTCAGTGGGAAATGTCTGTTTCTGCAGTGAAAGAGAAGCTAGGTCTCAGCCCCAGTTCCCAAGCATGGCCCTGGGGCGGTGGCTGCCTCCTGAGTTTCCGGACACAGACTGAGGGGGAATCGAGTGGCTGATAAGAGAGGGGTTGCAGGGATCTCTTTGCCAGTACTGAGGCAGGAATCTCTTGCTTTGCCCCTGCTTGGATCTGGGTCACAGTTCTGAGGGGCAGTCCTGGGGTGAGGAGGAGCAGCGCTGGAATGGTGGAGCTTGTAGTGGCTGTGGAGAAGAAATCCTCCTCACAGTTCCAAAATGGAAAAGAGGGCTTGTGGTCACTCATAGACCAGAGCACAGGCCAGGAAAGGAGTAAACACCTTACCCCTTATTATACCACCTTGGAAGAACTGAAAATTTACAGGTCCCTAGAAGTATCTCTGAAAACACCTGTACAAACCCCCGAAGCTTGAGACAGTACATTCTCCACATTGGAGAGTTTATAACTGTTCCTTAATAAAGAGTTTATAACTCAAGTAATTGGCTGGGATCATGAGCAAACCTAGCAAGGTGTCAGGCCATAGAATCTTTCTTTGGTGACAAAGAAGATCAAAACATACAACCAGAAGAAGACAACAAAGTCAAAGCTCCTACATCCAAAGCCTCCAAGAAAAATATGAATCAGTCCCAGGCCTTTGAAGTGTTCAAAAGGGATTTTAAGAAGCAAGTAAGAGAAGTAGAGGAAAATCTGGGAAGAGAAATGAGACTGATGCAAGAAAATCATGAAAAACAAGTCAACAGCTTGCTAAAGGAAACCCCAAAAAATACTGAAGAAAATAACAACTTAAAAAATAGCCTAACCCAAACGGCTAAAGAGGTCCAAAAAGCCAATGAGGAGAAGAATGCCCTAAAAACCAAAATTGGCCAAATGGAAAAGGAAGTCCAAAAGATTACCGAAGAAAGTACTTCCTTAAAAATTAGAATACAGCAATTGGAAGCTAGTGACTTTATGAGAAATCAAGACACTGTAAAACAAATCCAAAAGAATGAAAAAATAGAAAACAATGAGAAATATCTCATTGGAAAAACAACTTACCTGGAAAATAGATACAGGAGAGAGAATTTAAAAATTATTGGGCTATCTGAAAGCCATGATCAAAAAGAGAGCCTGCACATCATCTTTTGAAAAATTATCAAAGAAAACTGCCCTGATATTCTAGAACCAGAGGGTAAAACAGAAATAGAAAGAATCCATTGATCACCTCTTGAAAGATATCCCAAAGGAAAACTTCTGGGAATATTATAGCCAAATTTCAGAGTTCCCAGGTCAAGGAGAAAATATTACAAGCAGCCAGAAAGAAACAATTTAAGTATTGTGAAAACACAATCAGGATAACACAAGATTTAGCAGCTTCTACATTAAGAGACTGGAGGGCATGGAATATAATATTCTGGAGGGCAAAAAAAGATAGTATTACTGTGCCGGTCCAAACCGCACACTTTCTTACAGCCAGATCAGGCAATCAGGGTCATACTCACCGGTCTTCGGGATCACCCGGATTTACCAGAGACGAGCCGACCAGGAGGTGCAAAAACCTGAACTTTATTCAATAGTCATCACAGCAAGGCCAGGCAGGAAGGCACACACTCACGAGCAGGAGCAAAAGCCAACTCTGCCCCCCCCCCTCCCTGCAGCTCTTTTTAGTACCTTCTGGTCAGCTCGTCTCTGGTAAATCCGGGTGATCCCAAAGACTGGTGAGTATGACCCTGGTTGCCTGATCTGGCTGTAAGAGAGTGCGCGGTTTGGACCAGCACAAGTGGCGCCCAACGTGGGGCGGAGGAAATAGACCAGGGCCCTGCTGATCAGCTGGTCTGATCACAGGAAGAGAGACGAGACCCCATAGCCTACAGGGTGAGGGAAGGAAGATGGGACAGACACTTGTTAAGGTCCCGGATCGGGAGGTGCTAGGGAAAGAAGTATATAAAATAGTGAAAGGGGCAGAATTAGAGATAGATCTGAAAACTGCAAGGGCGTTTGTAGATACAATCCAGCACTGCTGCCCCTGGGTACAGTACAACGTCCTTGACTTAACTAGGTGGGAAACAGGAAGTCTTTGAGCTGAGACTGCTCTGCCTTCCCTGGAGCTCAGATTCTCTCCTTTTTCCTTTTGACCTGAGTTCTCTCTGCCTTCCCTGGGACCTAAGATCGCTCTGCCTTCCAGAAGTCCACTCTGTGCATGCAGATCCCAGGTTGGAGTCCTTTCCCTGAGGGCAAGGCCTGGGTCTTCCTAACTCCTATGGGACCTTGCCCTCTGTAAATTCCAGTTGGGCAGCCTCCTGCCTATGAAGAGAGGAGAAAGAGCTCTGGATCCGTCTCCCTCCCCAGCTCAGTCTGCAGAGGAACAAAACCTACCCCAAGAAGGGAGCCTGGATTGAGAGAGAATGGCTCCTGGGAGCAGCCAAGCCCCAGCCCAGGAGAGAGTGACATTCAAGGATGTGGCTGTGGACTTCACCCAGGAGGAGTGGAGCCTCTTGGACCACCCTCAGAAGGCGTTGTACAAGGGGGTCATGCTGGAGAATGCCTGGAACCTACTACCCCTGGGGCTTCCAGTTCCCAGAGAAGATGTGGTCTCTTATTTTGAGCAAAAGGAAGCACCATGGATGCTGGAGCAAGAAGGCCTGAGGAGCTGCTGTCTAGGTTGTATTAGTGGTATGGTACACAACATGCTTCTGACACAGGTAAATTACTTTTGTGTTACTTTCAAATCCCTTTACCTCTCTAGGCCTCCATTTTTTCCTCATTTGTTCCTCATTTGTGAAAAAACAAAAGAGAACATGCACATTTAAACAGTCTGTTCGATTCCTTCGCACTTCGGATGTAATCTTATGGGTCTGCTTCTAGTGATTCTGCATAATAATGCTGGCTCTCTCTATATAAAAATAAAATATATAAACTATATAATAGTTTAAATATATGAATATAGTTACTGTATTTGTATATATAGGAATATAATTGTTAAGCTATATTTTGATGATAAATATAGAACAGTTTATGTTAAGTATTATATCAAATCACACATACCCTATACACATATATAAACAATTTCATCATATATTATCATTTGATAAACGTCATATAATATCATTTGATAAACATTTGATAAAAATATTTTGGGATTGGAAATTGCTAAATGTTATTATAGTAAGTCTGAGTGAGGTTTCTAGAATGTCCTGGATCTTGACTGTGGAAAGGTAAAGAGTCTGTTGTGTCCTCTAGTTGCCATGGTTACCTCTCAGGATTTTAATCCCAAGTGTCCCTTTATTTTGAGGCTGGACTTTAAGAATGTCCCTCAAAGAGTTGATTTGTTTTTTAGATGCTATTATTTGTATGTAACAAGACAGTCTGCTTCTGACACAGGTAAATTACCCGTGTGGGCCCTTCAAATCACTGTTACCTCCCTGGGCCCCCATTTCCTCATTTGTAAAAACAAACAAACAAAAAACAAAAACACACAAAAAAAACATAATCATGTTTAAATGATGAGACCTGTGAAACTCCTCATTTTGGACATAACTTCTAACACTGCCACAATAAAATTTATAAGGCATATTAAATAAGAATTCTTTCTGAAATAGTAATTTTTAAATAATTGCATTATTGATATTAAAAGAAGACACAAGGGATCTGCTTTATTTCCTTTATTTCATCATATTTGTACTGTAGGATGATGAGCATTACAATGTATTATCTTGACGTCCTGAAGAATGCTGAATTTCTTTTTTGAACCTGATTTTCAGGCACAGTCCTGTGCCCCGATAATTCTGGAAAGGAAACTGGCTTGGCAAAGATTTACTGCCTTCACATCGAACACACACACGTTTTGCTTCTTCTTGCTATCTAGTAGATCCAAATACTTGAGGCTACTCATGACTTTCTGGAAAACTACGCTTGTCAGTTTTCTGAACTCAGTGAGTTCAGGAGTGCTAGCGCTATCCATACTGCCACAGTTCAACTTCATTTATTTTTTGTCCCTCTGGATGTGAAGGATACATGTAGGGGCCAACAAAAGCCATGGCCATTTTCCCCCAGCTTCTGGGTCAGAAGGAGGTTCTAGTAGTTTTCTGAGAAGAGTAAAGGCCCTGTCCTGCAGACAAGCTCGAATAAGGCTACAAAGGTTTAAGGAGTCACTTTACAATACAAGAGCATTTCACCCTAAAGGGTATGTATGAACTTAAAACCTGTGCTCTAAGGAACCCTTGAGGACATTGCCATTTCCTTCAGCACAGAGTTTCTAGGGCATCACTCCCTTTTCTAGTGGAGGAGGTGTACAGTGCCCCTCACTTCTGGGATTATGTTCCCACTGGGCTCCAGGGCCTCTATATATACCTCCTAGAGGGTGACATGCCAGCTTGCCCAACAATGCTGCTACATTGTGACATGATCATTACCCAGGACAGTCATTTTGACCAAAAATGGTCATCTTAAGTTTTACCAAAAATATGATCTGACCTTTTAACCAAAAATGGTAATAATACTGATTTTAAAATATAGTCCCACTTGTGAGGGACTGTCTGATGTTGGCTACTGCCAAGTGGAAGTTGTGGCAAGATGGGGTAGGAACAAGATATTAGGAAGTAACTGGAGCTCACGCTCCCGAGGCAGGGGCTGTGCTAGGCGGAGTTGTGGTGAACTGGGATGGGAACTGGATACAGAGAAATAACGGGAGCTCACACTCCTGAGGCAGTGGGCAGTGCTATGTGGAGCTGTGATAAGCTGGGGAAGGAACAGAATACAAGGAAGTAGCTGGAGCACGTGCTCCTGAGGCAGAGGGCTGTGCCACGTGGGAGTGGGATGGCAGAGGACGAGTTCCCTTTGCTTAGTCCCCTCCCTAAGTGCAACGTCAACCCCAGACGCCTCCTTCCTGTGTCCTTCCTGACTTCCTGGGTCACGTACTTTTCCTTTGTGTAGCACTGACCCCAGACGCCTCCTCCCGGTATCTGGGCCTGACTTCCTGGGTCACGTCCTCTCCCTAGGTACAGCTCTAACCCAGACGCCTCCTTCCTGTATCCGGTCCTAGCCTCCTGCGTCACTTCCTCTCCCTTGGTGCGCTAAACCCAGACATCCCCTTCCGGTATCTGATCCTACAATCAATGACTAGTAGGCGGGCTGAGGAGGAGGGGCTAAGTAGGTACTTAAGGAACAGTAGAGCTTGGAGGTCGCTCTCTCTTTTGCTCCTGCTCTCTTGCTCTGGCCTACCTGCTTGGCTTTGCTGTGATGGCCTCTGAATAAAGCTTGAGTGTTGGCACCTCCTGATCAGCTCGTCTCTGTGTGTTTATCCGGGTGGGCACCGAAGACTGGTAAGTAGTATGACTCTGGCAGCCTGCTCCTTATAGGAGGAGAGTGCATGGCGTGGCCAGCACAATTACAACCAAGCATCACCTACCTAGCAAAACTGAGAATAATCCTTCAGGGGAAAAAACAGTCATTCAGTGAAATCAGGCATTCTTGATGAAAAGACCAGAGCTGAATAGAAAATTTGACTTTCAAATACAAGACTCAAGTAGAACATGAAGAGGTAAGCAGGAAAGAGAAATCATAAGAGACTTATTAAGGTTGAACTGTTTACATTCCTGCATGGAAAGATGATACTTATAACTCATGAGACCATTGTCAGTTAACATATATATATATATATATATATATATATATATATATGTGTGTGTGTGTGTGTGTGTGTGTGTGTGTGTGTGTGTGTGTGTGTGTGTATAGATATATATATGTGTGTGTGTATAGATATAGATATAGATAGATAGACAGATAGATAAATAGATAGATAGATAGATAGATAGATAGATAGATAGATAGAGGGCACAGGGTGAGTTGAAAATGAAGGGGTGATATCTTGAGAATAAAATTAAGTGGCAAGAGAGGACTACATTGGGAGAAGGAGAAAGGGAGAGGCAGAATGGGATAATTTATCTCACAAAAAAAAGCAGAAAAGAAAAAGCTCTTACAGTGGAGGGGAAACGGGAAGGCAAGAGTGAATGAGTGAATCTTATTCTCATAGGATTTGGCTTAAGGAGGGAATAACATGCACACTCAATTGGGTATGGAAATATGTCTTACCCTACAGGAAAACAGGGGGAGAAGGGGACAAATGAGCAGGGGAATGATAGAGAGGAGGGAAGATTGGGAAAGGGGGTAATCAGAAGCAAACACTTCTGAGGAGGGACAAGGTCAAAGGAAAGAACAGAATAAATGTGGGGGTGGGATGGGATTAAGGGAAATAGTTTTTCACAACATGACTACTATGGAAGTGTTTTGCATAACTGCACATGTATAACCTATATTAACTTGCTTGCCTTTTCAATGAGGGTAGGTGGGGAGGAAGGAAGGGAGAAAATTTGGAACGCAAAGTTTTAAAAAAACATGTTTAAAAAAAATGTTTTCACATGCAACTGGGAAATAAGAAACACAGGAAATGGGGTACAGAAATCTATCCTGCCCTATGGGAAAGCAAAAGGGGAAGGGGATAAGAGAAGGTAGGAGAGATAGAAGGGAGGGCTGAGTAGGGGAAGGGGTATTCAGAATGCATGCCATCTTGGGGTGGGGGAGGGGTGAGATGGGGTGAAAATTTAGAATTCAAAATCTTGTGGAAGTAAATGTTGAAAACTAAAAATAAATAAATTTAAAATTTCAAAAATGAGATAATCTAGTCAAGTTGTATCTTACATAAAGTCTTACATAAATCTGCAAAAGTTACTTCAGCCTCATAAGCAAAATCATGATTATGGAAAAATTTTAGAATGCATGTTGACATTTTGGTCCTCAAAAACTAAAGTTTAGTATAGGTTTTTTTAATCTTACAATAGTATTTAATATGTATACTCTGTCAGATGGCACAATCAGAGAAAATCAAATTGTGATCATTAAACTAGTGGCAATCAGAAACTTATATTTTGAAAATTAAGTTTATTAATATGTAATCTTTAGGTAATCATATTTATTCTCCTAATTTACACAATATTTATGATGTTCCACATGTCCTTGAAATAGGGAACAGGGACAGTATAGTATGAAAAAGTGGCCTACCTGCTAGAGTTCATAAATTTTGTTCAGCTTTGGATGAGTTCAAAGAATTGCCATGTAAGAAAAGCCTTACAGAGGGAATTTATCTGATTATGGCAGTAATAATTACCCAGCTGTTTATTGCAGATAGAGAAATAATTCATGTAGGCAATAGGCCGTGGTGGCAATGACACTCTGCATTTAGTAAATATGCAAACTGTTCACTTCTAATTAACCAAGCTAGAGGATGCCCTTATTAAATGTATAAACTAAAAGTGCCTTCCTGACAAGTGATGAATTGTTACATTGCACAAACTCTTGCCACAGAATTATTGGAGTGAACTTGGGGCTTAACTTCATTAAGAGATCTTGTGGGATAGTTAAATGAGGATGGACAGCATAACAAGGCCTACCTGACAGCCAATGATATGTGAGACCTGAATGAAACTGCACTTTTTATTTCCTTCCTACTTTACTATTAAGATGGACTATAGATAACTTGTGAACTTGCAAAGTTAATTTGAGTTTGATCAAAGAAAATAAAATAAATACCAAAGAAGCTAATTTCTTGAGAATATATGTTGAAAATATATAGTTGAAAATTTACTTTCCAAATTAATTTAAATAACCACCATATTATGATCATGGATACATAAGTTTATTTTTAAAATTATTTTTATTTCATTAACTATTTCCCAATTATATATAAAAAAGAATGCTTATTTTTAAAATTTTTTGAGTTACAAATTCTTTCCCTTTGTCCTGCCTCTCCCTCACTTTGAAAAGGCAAACAATTTGATGATTATACATGGCAAGTCGTGTAAAACATATTTCCATATTAGCCACATTGTGAAAAAAAATCCCAAACAAAATAAAACCATAAATATAAAGACAGTGAAAAAAAGTATGCTTCACACTGCATTCAGAGTTTATTAGTTCTCCCTCTGAAGGTGGATTTCACCTTTCATCATGGGTCATTTGGAATTGTCTTGGATTATTGTCTTGATTAGAGTAGCTGAGTCTTTCAGAGTTGATCATCCTTACAATATTGCTGTTACTGCATATAATGTTTTTCTCATTCATTACATCAGTTCATATTTATTTTCCCAGGTCTTTCTGAAACCATTCTGCTCATCATTTCTTATAGCATTGTAGTGTTCCATCACAATCATATACCACAACTTGTTCAGCCATCCCCTAATTGAAGGGCATTATCTAGATCTTTAATTCTTTGCCACCACAAGAAGAACTATTATAAATATTTTTGTACAAATAGGTCCCTCACTGGATAAAATAATTTCTTAAAAGTTAGAATTAGGCAAGAAGAAGCTAATGACTCCAGATATTCCATTTTTCCCTTGAAGGATTATATTCAGTTTTGTTGGGTAGGTTATTCTTGGTTGTAATGCCAGCTCTTTTGCCTTTTGGAATATCATATTCCAAGTCCTATGCTTCTTTAATGTGGCAGCTATTAAATCTTGTGTGATCCTGACGGTGGCTCCACAGCATATGAATGGTTTCTTTCTGGCTGCTCTTTGACCTTAGAGCTTTGGAATTTGGCTGTAACATTCCTAGGAGTTTTCATTTTGGGATCTCTTTCAGGTGGTGATTGATGGATTCGTTCAATTTCTATTTTACCCTCTGGTTTGAGGATATCTGGTCAGTTTTCCTCGACAACTTCTTTAAATCTGATATCGAGGCTCTTTCTTTGATCATGGCTTTCAGATAATCCAAGAATTCTTAAATTATATCTCTTCAGGGGCAGCTAGGTAGTGCAGTGG